AGTGTCTGACAGAGGAGATGCAGCCAGATCCCTCTTCCTGCTCCTGTCTCTGACAGCCCTTGAGGGGAATTACAGTATTGCCTTTTTTATCTTTTTAATATGATGAAATTCAATTTCTTGATATAATTAATGTTCACATTGTCTTCCAAATAAATCATCAAATGACACTTCTGAATTTCTATTATGATCACATTCTGTTTTCAGATTTCATTGACAGTAGTCTACAGTGTATTAGAATCTAATGTACTTTTGATCCACATAAACAAGAAAAAATCAAATAAGAGGGTTATTTGTTAATTTAATACACAAATAGTAATTCTCCCAAGAAACTGTAGCTAAGTACCTACAGCATATTTTATGCCTAAAATATAATATTTTTTTCTGTGAATGTCTTAGAGTAATATTAATTCCTTGTTTTGATTAATAAGTTTTACATATAAGAGAAAGAGGATTATAGCTGTATCATTGTTACACTATCTTCTTATACCACATAAATTATTTTATTCCACAAATAGAAAAAAATCATGTAACTTAGAACCAGAAGGAACCACAATCATCTATTTGCATAATTGGCACTACTGTAGTTCTCACTGATAGTAATCTTAAACACAAAATAGTGGGTTGCTGAAGGAAAAAGAATTATAGGAATTTATCAGGATTTAGCTTGAAGACTTTATGTGTGCTTTATGGCAGCTTTTTTAGCCACAGACCTCACTGCATAAAATTTGTATTTTGTGAGCTGTGTAAATATTCCCTTCTAGTTATGGTTTTTTGCCTCTGCTTTCAACTGCAACACATTTGCGTGTTACTTCTAGATTCTAGCCAGTATTCTGAGACCATTCTCCAATTTTTAATTCTACGTTTAATATAGGATATTTCTGAATGAAATTTTTTGAATGAAAATTCTTCAACAACGTAAATGAAGTTATTTCATCTAAGCAGGCATTCTGAAAATCCTACTTTACAATTTTGCAAGTCCAATTTACTGCAGTGGATGTATTTCTTAGGCAACTCTTGAAACTTACTGTAAGGCCAAGGGTATCTTTAGATGTTTAATGCTTTAAAGCATGCTTAAATAAGTCTAAACAGTCTGTGTTGTCTGTATTTGATATAAGGCAGTAAGTGGATATGAATAGTATGCCAGTGTTCAAATTATCAGCTAGTCTTTTTTCTTTGTCCTTCTAACTTGATAAAGCTATAATTTTGAAAGGATACACAATAGGTATAACTTTTTAAATGCAAAATCAAATGTTTCAGTAAAGGGAAATGTATGATTGACATGAAACACCTTCAACTTACAAAAAGGGCTACCATGGATATAAGAACACACTTCTGCACTGTATTTGAAAGCACTTGCTGAGTGAACATGAAATAAGAGGAGTGGATTTTTTCTAATTGTGGTTCCCTAATTTTTATTTTAGACAATTATTGGAGATTTTCAGAAGGAACAGAAAAAATTTGTCCAAGAGCAGCAAACCAAAAAATCAGGTAATGTATGCTTTTTTTCTTAATGCCTAACATCACATAAGTGAAAACCTGTGTAGTTGAGGTACATCTAAAACTAATCTATCAAAGCTCTGCTTAATGAAACACATTATGGCACAACTTAATGCATATTGTGCAATAGGAAGATGATATTTTTAAGTGAGGTTAGTATTACATTATCTTACTCTTTTAACCAAATTCAGCTTTATGAAATTACCTCAGAGATGACTGTGCTAGTGCAGAGCTGATCTCTTGCTGCTGTTTTGAATCTTAAGCCTGTGTATTTATTGAAAACTGGCATGCTGATTTCTTCTGAGCTTTGGCAATAATGTCACATTTTCATAATGAAATTAAAAACATAGGTTAGGGTTTGCACTATAGTATTTAATTAGTGTTGCTTTAGGAGTTACTCTGCTTACATTAAAGACATAATTGCTCTTTTGCTTTCCCATAAATCATTTGCTTTGTAATTATCTGTGATCTAAATTCTTAGAGTTATCCACCCATGTACTATTAACATCAGTGGATCTATTCAAGACTTTAAATAAGCACAGTTGTTTTTTCACATTGAGTTTCATCACTGACTTTTATCTATTTTAATGTGTTACCTGATTGCAGTAATTTCTGACAGTTAGTGACTCTCCTGTTAATCTTTAAAATAAACTGTTTTAAATGGATTGTAATAAAATTTTTCATGCTGTTTATAGTTAGTATGCTAGTCTGATTTCTTCTTGCAAGATTGCTTATGTGATCATGTTGTCTGTAATTCTTTTTGTCTCTGTTAGTAAACTTTGGCATCTCTCAATCTATTTCTACAAGCGTTATGAAAATAGGTAGCTAGACTGACCAAAGGAGGAGTAACAGAGGGCCTGACTGCAAGGAGCATTAGCGTCAGATGGGAATCCATGTGGGTGAAAGATCTTGCTGATATCAGATGCCACAGGCAAAGAAGCATTGTTAAAGGCACAAGAGTTCTAATTTAACTGTTACAGGTGCATCCTATTGTCTCTGTAGGCTGAATTTGCGCTGATGGTGAAAAGATTAATAAATATCTATACATCTACAGTAGTTTATTTTCCTCTCTGTACAGCCTATAGAACTATTTTGGAAGTATCTGCATAAATATGTAAATCAGCTGAACTCGAGTAGGCTTATTCAGTGTATAGCATGTAATTTATAACCTTTTTCTCCATTGTTAAAGAATTGGTGTCTCTGGGTGTAAGTTATTTTGCAAACTTAATTTAGACAAAGTTTACACATTCAAAGTGAATCTAGAAATGCTATTTGCAGGCAATTTAGCCATTTATACAGCACTGCTTCAGTAACTAAGCTAAGAGACACCAAGTTCTGACTGGTGCAAAGAGATCCCCACAGTTTTATTTTTACAACAACAGAAATCAGCAACTATTTAATTATTATGTTTTACCTCTGATAAGTAAGGATCCATTTCTACAGCTTTTCTCTCATGCCATGAACTTAGTTTAAGAAAAAGGAACAATGAATAGAACTAGTGGTATAACTCTGCTTATTTTCATGACACTATACGTTACTTTATATAAGATCTGTTTTGTTGTTTGGCGGGATGTTTTTCAAGTAATACTCATGCAATTATCCTCCTCCTTTCAATAACAGAAGCCGCAGTGCCTCCCTGGGTAGACAGCAATGAAGAAGAAACAATTCAACAACAAATACTGGCCTTATCAGCAGTAAGTATTTAATTTCTTGTAAGATTTGAAATTTTCTCTTGGAAAGATTAAAGCTTCCTTTTCCTTTTTCTTTTTTTTTTTTTAATTTTTCTTTTTAAAGTAAGTTTGGTTGGCATTATTAAATTGTTTCTGCGCTGATCATGTGCAATAGTAAATAGTTCTATTAGTTTCAGCTTGAGCCACTGTTGCAGTTTGGGTGAGTTCTTAAGTGACTCCCGGCCGCTCTGCGAAGGTTCCAGGGCTGAAATCACCCCCCACCCCGCTGCCCGTCCCTCATGGCAGGGACAGGCAGCGGAGGCACCTATGCCAGGAGACAGACACCACGCAGCACCCAGGAAGTCCAGCAGCGAAGAGAGTTTATTCAAATCTCCCCCCAGCTTATAAGGGCTGGTGGGGAAAAGAGGGGACTGGCCATTTGGCTAGCCAGTGCAGGGAGACAATATAATAACTATGGCAACACAGGAACCAATGATAGGCAAGAAAGTTAACAACTTCAAACCCCTGCAAGCCACAGCAGATCCTTGGTATAATGTTTATTTTTGTAAAGATTTTATGGACTGCTTTGCTGATTTGTGTGTGAAATATGGTGTCCTTTGTCCAATATCAGTTAATGACCATAAATATGTTCTTAAAGGACAAACGGAATTTTCTACGGGATCCCCCAGCAGGTGTGCAGTTTAATTTTGACTTTGATCAAATGTACCCTGTTGCACTGGTGATGTTACAAGAAGATGAGCTTCTCAATAGGATGAGGTTCGATCTCGTTCCCAAACAGTAAGTAATTTCTGCTGTTAACTATGTGTCATTGTACCTTTAATGTTTCTGTAAATACCCATAAATTACTCTTTGTTCTTTTCACTTCCTTCAATTATTTGTGTTCTTCCGATGTATGTTTTTTTTATCTGCTCATGTCAAATGTGTGGATTACTACACGTGCATGGAAGTTTAGCAGTCGGAGGAAAGAACAGAAATACATCTATTAGACCTTCAGAACCAGTGGACCTGTTAACTTAAGTATGGGAAAGGCCTTCAGGTTTTCTATGTCCAATGTGTTCAATTAATTTTTTTTTCCCCAAACAAAGGTAAATGCAACAACTAAAATGTTCAGATCTGTTGGTGTAACTGACAGGCCAAAAAGGTGGTCACAGATAGTCAGAGACCCCACTGGAGAAATGGTGAAAGAATGAATCACGAAGCAGCAGCAATACAAGCACGAAAAACTGGATTTGAGTAGGCTATGGGAAGAGCTCTGCATTGCAACTGCCTTCTTTCTAGTGGACCTTACAAAAAGATCCAGAGGTCTTTGTCTGAGCAGTTATGGCCTGTTCCAATATGCCTTCTTGGTCACAGCTTTATTCCCTAACTGTTCTTCCTTGTCCAGTCCCAGACCCTGCTCCTAAAGCTTGTTTCACAAGTCAACATTATTTTGAAATGGGAGTTCCCAACACTAGTGTACTTGTCTAAGGATCAAAGCAGAAAACATTTTTCTTTGTGACCTCTGTTTTAAATTTCCACCTTTTCTAAGCCTTCCTAGCTCTGCGTTCTATTTACCTTTTCCCTGCTTTCAGTCCTGAGATCTGCCCATATTCTAGGTTTTCATCAGATCTGTCTCTGGTGCTCCAGCCTCTGGTCATGTTGTCCTTGCCTATTTTACCACATTGCTTAATAGTTTTTTTCCCCCTGTTCTTAGTCTCAGTGGTCATTTCTCTTTCTTTCCTCTCCTGACCTACATGCCCTCCTCCCCACAGGTCTTGTCATTTCTGCCTTCTCTTGCCTCTGGGTTAAAGTTTGGTCTTTTCTTGCCTGTTGGAGGGATTTCAGAAGGAAATGTTACCTGAGATATGGGATAGTCTCTCCCTTAACAAAGCTGGTCGTTTCTGGGATGTCAGTTTCTAGTTACTAAAGGTTACTGAAAGACGTACAGCTAAGTGAAACAGTTCTGCTATCAAAGGAGTTCCGGTTCCACCTGATGTCTAGGGAAGATGTAGATGAATATATTTTGACAACAATAAGAGTGTTGAGTTTAGAGAGGAAGTAAAGAGAACAGGATTGTTTGGCTTGTTGGGTTAGTTTACATAATTTGTCAAGAGAGATGGAACAGCATAACATTTTTCCATACTGTGTGTTGCTGCATGCTGTTTTTTCTAAAGTCGTAACAATATTATTATTATTATTATTATATGTTCAAGTCTGTTGCAACTGCCTTGTAAGAGATCAAGAAATTCTACAATGATGGATTTTTTAAATATCGCAAATTAATTTCACAAATTTAATATCACAAATTTCTTTGTTAAATTTTTACTTAAATAGCAGCTACTTAATATTTAATTTTCTCTGCACATTTAATTTTCTTTCACTGCTAGATGGTAAAAGGAACCATATTTCCAAATGTAGTAATCAAAATCTATTTCTTCTCTCTAGTGTAAAGGAGGAGGTGTTCTGGAGAAATTATTTCTACAGGGTGTCCTTAATTAAACAGTCTGCACAACTCACTGCACTTGCAGCTCAACAGCAAGCAGTAGGAAAAGAAGAGAGCAAAGGCAGAGAAGAGGACAGTGAACTGAAAGGTATTGGAAACATTTGTAGTTTATGAACTAGAAACATTGTACAGCTCATTAACTTACTGTCATGCATGCTCACCAAATACATCAAGTGCCATCAAATTTTTGTCCTGGATTTCCTATTAAATCAGGGCTTCTCTCATCATATTTTGTATGTTTGTGTAGCTTGGGGAAGAAGAGACTCCTAGTGCTTTCCACTGTTTTCCACATTCAGTTGTCTGTGTCAGAGGAATGGAAATCTCAAGAGGAGAAATGCTGTGCTTGGTTTATAACAGCTCATGACCACTAGTGGTCTCAGGTGTGCTTTTTTGACTTGTCAGAAAGAAATAGGAGATAGTTTTGGTTCACTTGGTCAGACAACTAGCCAACCCAACCAGCTGGCATATGGTTTGCCCTTGGCTTTTGCTCATCCCTCAGACCAAACAGAAATTAGTGAGTGATACAGAGGTAGAATTTTGGTGGTGGTGGAGGCAGAGACATGTGCAGTGTGTGGTCTTACTGACCCTCTTATTAACCACTGTGCCTCTTTATCTGTGTAAACAAGTTCTGTGAGCAGGAATATACACAGCTTAAAGAGCAGAAAGCAGTTAGTGGCAAAGATGCAAAAGATAACCAGTAGTTCATTAAATCTTAGCTTAAGCTAGGTGGGCTCACCATGTCTGGTAAGACACTTGAAGATTCTTGGCAGGCTGGGCAGGCATTGGGTAGAAGGAGAAAGCTTTTGCTGCATCCTGGAACAGCTTCTTATATCCCCAATATCCATAAATTGTCATCACCCATGAAATCCATTAATACTCATGTCCTGTCATGTTGATATGCCGGCCTGACTGACAGCCAGCTGATCACTGCCAAGTTGACTTCTATTCCCTCCTTTTCAAATAAAATAGCTTTCTTGGTATTTTTCCTCTTGAGTCCTTGCACTGCCAATGGTCCCATCTTTCTACTCCTACCTCAATTTCTAATGTCTCCTTCCTTATTTTTTTACAGACTTTCTCACAGGTCTTTTGCACAGCTTATTAACTTTCTGCAAAGTTTGAGCTAAGGTTAGTTCAGCTGGGCCTTGGCTCCTTGGACACTGGCAGCTGCACCTTGTGGTGAAGGGGAGGTTAAAAATGGAATTTCAGAGATGGACTTGTATGTTGAATGGAAGATACCTTTTTGAAAAGGACTATAGTAGCTTCCTCAAGCTTTTGTGTGTGTATGTGCTATGTTGTCAGTTTTTCATTTTGTTTCTCATAGGTTCTGTTTGGAGTGTGCCTGTGTCAGCCTAGGCAAGGTCCCCATCTAGAGTGAAATAAGTAGTTTTCTCTAAGTTAATATCCAAGCAGCACTGATAGGACAGGCTATTTCAGCATCTACTGCAAACCAAGAGGCACCAAGTCCCACTTTTTTTATTCAGGACAGTTGTCTGCTGTCGAAAACTATGGGTTTTTAAATTGAAGTGTCTCAACTCTACAGGACAGATGGCATTTGACCCTATTGAACAACAAGTTTGAGTCATCCAAAACCTCAGAAATGGCCAGTCAAAGCGAAAGTTGCTGGATTCTAGTAAAATTTCCATTGTGAATAAATCAAAATATATCTTTAATTTTTAAAAAACCCCAAACCACTGTCTTTTGGCCTGTTGTGGCTCTCATACAGTTTAGACCGCCATACAGTGTAGGACATGCAAATAGATTTACTGTCCTATGGACTCTACATTCTGTAATGGAAAAGATACATATACTAGAATGCAGTAAATACATGTTTTGTTTCATTCAGAAATTGCATAGATTTGGGAAGCTCTGAATCATCCATGTTATTTTTGGCTTAAGTAACCTTTTTGAATGTTGGATTCCCTAATTGGAGGCTAAAACTGGAAGTAATTGCCTGTTGGTAATTCTTCATAATGCTCAGTGTTTCTTCTGAAAGCCGACTGTCTATAAAATAGAATTGTTAGCCTTCCATTTTTATGTCTCTCTGTCTCCTCCTTAGCTGCTCTTTTCAGAAAGTTAAATTGGCATGGTTGATGTGAAAGGAAAAAAGAAGAGACAAATGGAAGACGTTCCATGTTCTAGTGTAAGAGAGAGGATGGAACAGAGCAGTGGGCGTTGAGTAGATGAGCTGTAAAAGCAATGATAGCTACCAATTAGGAAATTATTTTAATTAAAACTGATCTTAATTTTAAAAACTAAACATAAAAAAATTCCCCGTTCTGAAATTGCTGAGTTAGCAGGAGGGGTCCACCTGGGTGTACTGCAGGAAGCAGAGCTGTGAGCTCAGAGCTGCTTGGCATATTTAAACAAGCAGAACTGCTACGCAAGCAACCCATCACTACAACAACTTGCCCTGTATGTTAATTGTTCTTGCAGCCACCTGGCTCTGTACTGTAACTCTACCCTGATAGTTCCACAGGGAGGAAAGTCAGGGTGTTCCTTTACCTACCAGGAAGAAGATCTATCCTTGCCTGTAAACAATCATTATCTTCTAGCACCATGCTACTAAATACAGAATGCACAGCAAGTTTTCTTAGGAAATTTTGACCAGCTTCTATGTTTTTCAGTGACTTCCTTTGCCATGTCAGTAGTAGTACCGAGCTAGGGGAGTCTGGGAACTTCTGTGCTACACATGAACTGAATTTCATGACCAAGTCTACTTATTTGTAACTTGAAAGATCTTGTGGCATGTGGTGCCATCTGTAAGTTTTTTGTAGAAGACGTTCTCTCAGTTTCCCAAGTGCTTCTATCTGCATGTTTTTTTGGATCATTTTGAGTGTAAGAGGGGTTCCTGTCCTTGAACTTTGGAGTCATACTGAGGAAATGGTTTGCCAAATTTGCCTTAATTAAGAATAGTAAATTGCTTCTTTTCCATTTTGTTGTTTCAAATGCTTCACCTATGGCTGAACTCCGCCTTTAACCACCAGAATTCCTCAAATCTTAAAATGCAATATTTCCCTGTATATTTAATAGACATACAGATTAAATTATATTTTTACATATTTAAATATAATCTACTTTATTTTCTCTCCCCCTTGATAGAAACAGTACGGCCGAAAACACCGCCTGTTACGATAAAGCCTCAAACAAAATCTCAAGAGGTAAAAATGCTGATATATTTTGTCCGGTATTTAGTATGTGAAGCTGTTCCTTATTAGGCAATTATGCATCCCTTTGAGTAAGTTTTGCTGTGAAATCATAATAATATAGTATCTGACAGTCCTAACCTGCTGCTCTTTTGCTGTGATGATAATTTTTAGCGTATAAGCTTGAAACTCATTTTCATTAGAAGAAACAGTAATTTATCTGAAGAATGCTTTCATTAGTATCTTGCACCTTATAATAAGATACATTTTTCCTCCCAAGAGTGATATTTCCAAAATCTTTGGAGTAGAAGGTTAGCATTGTATTTAGACAATGAGGAGTACCTTCATAAAAATGTACTTGTGTGCCATGTTCTGTCCAACTCTTCACACGTGGTCAGGTTGGAGTGTAGGAAATATAAATGATGCATTGCGATAGCAACACTGTTTTATAGCACTTTTACTTAATACTGCAGAAACCTGTACCATAGGCATGTAATGACCCTTGTTCATTTCTGGATTGTAAAATCGGTGCCAGAGAACACTCTTGGCAGAAGCAGAGCTGTGCATTCACTTGCCAGTAATATGCAGGGGACTAAATTAAGCTACAAAGATTTCCAAAGAACAGTCCTCTGTTAATCTTATTCTTGTGTAGAAAACTGTTACTGAATTGTGGTCAAATTTTTAATATTAGTCTTAGGTCCTGTTCTAAACATGAGTTTGTTATTGTTTCTGAAGATTTCAAAAACAGAATTAAAGTTGTGAAGTGAACACCAAAAGGCAGCCTAGGATGTAAAGCAGATCATTTTCAGTACAACTATCTAACATTTTTGTCTGTACAAAATTACTCTTAAAGAAAAGTATCCCATAAAGAAAAATAGTTGTCAGAAAAATGCATTTGGTTTGGTTTTTGATGACTCTATTTAAAAGCAGTCACATGAGCAGAAATATGTGTTGGTGACATTTCTTCCCCTGTCTGGGTAAGTTTATACTAAACTGTCTTGCTGCAGGATGAGGAAGAGATTTCCACAAGTCCAGGTGTATCAGAATTTGTGAGTGACGCTTTTGATGCCTGTAATCTGAATCAGGAAGACCTAAGAAAAGAAATGGAACAACTAGTGCTAGACAAAAAGAAAGAAGAGACTTCAGTAGTAGAAGGTAAAGCTATTATTACCTCTGCATGTTAAATAGAGCAATTCTAGGAAAGGCTGATTTAAAAAAAAAAAAAAAAAAAAAGAGTTGTAATTCAATTTAGAGAAGTAGATTTGTGACAGTTTTTTCAAAGTGTATGAAATGAGAATTTAGCAAATTTTTCAGAGTGTATGCAATGAGAGATTGCAGAATTTAATTATAATTTTCACCACGATCAAACCCCATCTTACACAGAATGTTAGCTATGAGGGGTTTAAATCCAAAGCACCTAAGAATGTTTAGGTCACTCTTCCATGAAAGTGAGTATGGGGCATTTTTTCCTGCGTATCTCCTCCTTTCCCTGTCTTCTCTTTCATTGGTTCTTATGCATACAATTTTTTGTTTCCTGTACACTGGCATCCTTGTAGGTACAGTACAGTATTTGGAAGTCAGGCTCTGTTTTCTTCTTGTGGCACCAGCTAAAAAGGCAGTATTTGCACTAGACTGAGCTCACAGAGGCCCCTGCTCTGAAAGGTTTAGAGGCATTTGGAACAGTTAAAATTTAACAAATAGTTCTGAGAATGATGAGAAGAAATTAGGTGGAGCTTATACATAAAATAATTCAGAAGAACTAATATTAGTGTAAAGAGCATAAAAATAGTCTGTGATGATTGGACTCTGGCCATACTCAATGAACAATTTACTATGAATACACTTGTATATATAGAGGATTATCAGGTAATTCACCACAATTTTCAGAATTCATCTTACAATGTGCTTTGAATGTTTCTGAATCATTGTTTTTCTGAATTTTTTTTTTCCCAATACGTAGCCAAGCTTGAGGAATTGTTATGAGTAAAATCAAATTCTTGCATCTGTTTCTTTGTTGGAAGTGTTTCACTAAGTCATTAATGTGTTATTTGTTCAGAGAAATCTCAGCTGGCCTTACTGACTTGGACTATGGAATTGCGTACCTTTGTATCTAGGCTGAAGTACTAACCAACATGTAACACATCAAACACCCATCTCCTCCCCCACACTCTTGCCTATGATAGGTAGAGGTAATTAAAACAGAGATTAACAACACTGTAATGCCTTCTGACTCATTTTTTGCCCTGAAGTATGAAATATGGTTACCTTTAACCCTGATTATATGAGCTTGCCTAGCTACAAATGCCAGTGAGGAGAATACATGCTTCTTTGTTTTAAATTAGCCACAGTATTTGATCTTGATTTTTTTTTCATAACAGTATATTAACACATTTATGAACTTCATATTTTATGGAGATTTAAAAGTGCAAAGTTGATTCAGTTTATAGCAGACTGAAAGACTGTAGGAAATGATCTTGCAAAGGAATGCTCATAACGACAGCTATGTATTTGCTTTTTAGATCTTTATTATAGTATGCACGTAGGCATATAGACTTGTATATTATTTAATTCCTACATGTGGTCAGTAAGGTGAAATTTCTGATCTTGAAGTTTGTTTAGTTTTTAAGGAGAATTGTCAATAAAGTTTAGGAAATACAAGAGAGGTTCAGTGGAGATTCATCTGCTTTTATATAAATAAGCAACATTCTATACATCAATTAAATTCTTACACATTATTTATCTCTTACAGAAGAAACTGCTGATTGGGAAAAGGAATTACAGCAAGAGCTTCAAGAGTATGAGGTGGTGACAGAATCAGAAAAGCGTGATGAAAACTGGGATAAAGAAATAGAAGAAATGCTGCAAGAAGAAAATTAGGCATTTTCACAAAACCACTATAACCCAAAGGTTTTTCTGAGGACTGACATGGATTTCTGCTTTCATATTTTGCTTACAGAAGTATCTTCAAAAGACATAAAAGAATCTAAAATCATTATAATTCCATATGGGAATACAACCAGTATTTCTGTTCTTTGTATGAGCAGTTTCTGAACTTCTGTGTTCTTCAAAAGAAAAAAAAAAAGAGGAGGCAGACACTGCAGGTTACATGCCATAATTAAAAGTGATAACATTAATACATGAGCAACAGTTCATGTTTTTAGGTGGTCAAGAAGCTCTCCAAAGAGATTTCTAAATCTAAGAATCAATTTTTTTTTGTCTACAGCCTTCTGTTTGGGATGTAAAAATGGGTGTTGTAAGTAACTTAGTCCTTGAAAACAATTCTCTCTTGACATTTGCACTCTGATCCCTGTATAATCTGTAAATGTGTACTATTTTTGAGGTACCTGTAGTGGTAGATTTCATGTGTATTTAACTTCCTTAATGTATGTAGCCAATGAATTTATAGAAAACCCTATTGAATAACTTTCAATGATTTGTTAAAAATACTAATGCAGACTCCAAAAGAAGCTGATTATTTATCAGTCAGGTGGCAAACATTTAAACATTTAAATAAGGATAGAATTATTAACTGCTTGAATTAAATTTGTTTTTGTTAAATCATCATATTAAGATATTGCCTTTCCCCACAGAGAGAAATGGTTTAATACATTCTCTCTGCAGAAGGCTGTTATGTTTCCATTTAATTTTGCTGTCTGAGCTGAGAGCAAATTAAATATTTCTCCTTAAGTGCTGAAACATTTATGTAAAAACTTTTGCTGGTTTGGACACCTTTATTAAATACTGTAGATATGTATAAAATTGTCTCTTTTATTTGGAAGAAGGGCAGAGTGAGGGGCAAGCATACTTCAGACTTACACAAATTTCAAAAATATACATTGTCACAGTGCTTAAGACATGGAATTTACATTAAAAAATAGGGGGTTTTCTCTAAAAGATTTTTGATTTTTCATAGGCATCTGTTTCCTATAGTTTTACCATTAAGTCAGTATCTTTATATATATATATGAAAATTTGATGTTCTGTTTGCCATCTATTTCATAAACTTCTGTGACAAAACATTCTTGAAATTCCAAATACAGAGGAAAATGGGTAAAATTAAGTAGGTTGGAGCCATTAAGCACAATTGAATTATAGGCATGTTACATACAGTAAGCTCTGTCTTAATGACATAATTCTGCAGAAAACTTTTGTAAAGAGACTGAAAAAGATTATAGCTGTAATTACTCAGTCAATATTCATCTCGTGGGAATTGAAAAGAGCTAAGTAGTTTTAACTGCTGTTACTGCAAGAAAGGTCTATTTAAAATTGTCTCCATTAGCAACTTGGACAGAAAGCTCTCCTGTATTTCTCATTATACAAAAGAAATTGTTTTAAACCTGCATATGTTTGGCTTTCCAAATTAGTTTATTGCCATGCACTTTCTCAACTACAAACCGTTTTATGTACAATTTGTATTTTTATAAGTGTTTTTCACTTAGTAAACAGATGTGAGATAAGTCATGGTAAATAAGAGGTACTTAAGCAGCTTTTTATATCTAGGATTAATTAAAGACCACAAAAGTTAAATCTGTTACACTCATAAAAATGAGACTATTCACAACTTAATGGTTACTTTTGACAAATTCAACTGCTTGTAGATATAAGCTGGAGATACTAGGAGCTATCTACTGTACAGTTTGACACAAAACCTTCTAAAAAGATGGGTAGTTCTATTCTGAGAGTGGCAAGCCTTTCCTGGATGACTAAGAGTTCAAAATCTCCAAATGCCAGTCTTCAATGCTCCAAATGTCCACTTCCTTAAAAATAAGCCTGATCGTTCCTAGTGTTTTCAGCTGTATTATTACCTGATTTGCATGGGGTTTGTACACGAAGCCTCATGGTTGTTTTCATGTAAGCATAATCTATATAGTGGTTATAGATATTAAGCCCCATCTCTCATGAAAGATGGTTCCTACATATAAAGCCTTTGTTTTCCAAGTTCCATGAAAAGCATGTCCATGAAAAAAATAAACCAACCCACTATTTGCATTTACATTTAAACAGGCAATAATGTAGTGAGGCTGAATCTGATTAAAACTGTGATGTTTAAAGTCTCTTATCAGATATCATATTAATATTTTCAAATCTGCATATCTGGTTTTAACCTGTAAAACTGAAATAAGTTTTGTGTAGTTCTGCAGTTTTCAGGCCTGCCTTGTGCTTTTCATTTAGGTAGGTGCCACAAGTGCCTAGCAGTTCTTATTCTGCATGGGAAGACAAGAAGTGTCTGCATTCCGCTTGTCACATGAGATGAACACAGGTAGACTTCTTCACATTCTTTGTGAATTTTGTATGCCATTTTGTAGCCCAAATGTGTCATAATAGTATATATACATATAGTATATAAGCAAGTGTGCTGGTGTTTTCTTAACAGCATCATTCCAAGCACTGGGATGGTGCAGATGCTAAAATCCAGCAACACAACAGTATGAAATCAATGACAAAATGAAAAGAAACCAAGAATAAATGTAAATCACACTATTCTGTGGATACAATGTGACAGAAAATGCAGTTTAAAACATTGAGGAGAAGCAAACAATCAAAAGGATTGTTAACAAATTTTCTTAGAAGAAGCTGAACTTGCAAGTTTTGGAATTAACCTTTTAGAAACAGAGAAAAAATTACCCAGGAATCATGTAGATTAGCTTAGAATAGTGATACTGCTTTCTTCCGAGATGCCAACATCTCCAGTTCTGTGCACTGAAGAATCCTCTTCAGCTATTAAATTACTAGTCCAGTTGGTATAAGTTAATACGGAATTAATATGGACTTTTTTTATCTAGTAATCTTTTTGGAGGATGAGGAAGAGGAAAGATTGTAAAATCCTGCAATAAGAAAAGTGTAGTGAAAAGTTCCCTCACATTTTTATTCAATCACTTACAGCTGTTCTCTGATCATAGTTAACCATTATTTTAGTAAACTTTGGATTTTTTTTAGTTTGTTTCTTCAGGTTTTTTTTCTCCTTGCTGTTTGGTGATCTTGGTGTTTGCTTGGTGGGGTGCTGTATGTAGTACTGAAGCGTAGGATGTCAGTTTTAACATCATGCATTTAAAGAATAACCCCATGTGCAGGAGCCTGTCACCAGACTGTGAGCTGCACCCTTGAGCTGTCAGCCACTCACACATTACTGACCTCTACTTTGCAATAGCTATTGCAAAGAAAGGAACAAAGTGTGTCTGGTTACTCCTCAGTGCATTGCCAAGCAGGAGCAGCCACACTGGGCCCTCAGTCCATGGGCTGTGTCTGGAGTGTTGTACTGTTCCAGTGTCAAGAACCACCCTGATAATGGTCTGGGTTTCAATTCACCAGGAGTTCAGAAGATTTATTGTCTGGCCTGATACTCTGTCTCAGTAAGTGCTCACATATATCTGTAACAACAGTGCAGTAGCCTAGCCCTAAATAATGTTACCCATTAGTAGATTTTTCTTCTAAATACTCATTTTTGATGCTTTTTTTCCTTTGTTTTAAACATTTGGGGTCTCTTGGGGAGTGGGGCAAGGGGGTCGTTAGATCATCATTCCAGTTTTTTTAAACAAAATGGCAAGTAACAGACACTTAATGTCTTGCTGTATTTTCTTTGTATATATTAAAGTTAACCACTCGAGAAAACAACAATTTCTGCAAAAAATCATCAGAACACATTCATGGATTCATTTTATTCTCAGTATAGCCCAGTTTGTTATATACAAAGGGAATGTATATATATATGCAAACCCACATTTATTAATGTGTCTAAAATATATTTTAAAAATTATAATGTACTTTTCCTGTTCAGCTGTTACTTTTAACTAGATACCATTGTGAGACAAGGAGCAACCAAAATAATTAGCATTAGTTTGTCACACTATCATTTTTAATGAGACAGCACTCTGTAGAAATTGTCTGTAAAAATGAAATCACTTGCTTTGTTTCCTAAAAGCCTGGTTTTTATTATGGCACAGGTTAGGGACGTTTGTTTTCCTTTGCTAGTTCTGGGATTCATGAATCTATGACAAACCTCTGCAGACAAACTTGGAAGGTATACTTAAATCAAAACTACATGAGCAGATAGGTTATTTTGTCTCTGTGATTTTGGCAAAGTAGGGAAAGACAGAAGAAACATGCATTTAGTTCAGGGTAATATATAAAAATAGAAGAATAAAGTTTTGATGCATGCTTTGATACATGATGCTCTAAAGAAAACCATGCTTAGTGTGGGGTTCTTATATGAACACACAAAACTTTAATTATGTGGTTGCTTTTATTTATTTGTTCTCTTGGCTATGGTTACTATACAGTGGAAGTGTGAAGGTTTCAGAGCCAGATAAAACCACTGCTTTTCTGCATTTCCTCTCTTTCCCAAGGAGAAACAAGCCCCATTTATCTCACAGTCAAATAATGGCCAGAGAATGAATTGATTATCCCCAGCTTCTTGTCCCACTTACTTCCGAAATGTTTTAATGATGGCCCTATACCCATTCATGACTTTGATGCCTGCAATTTAAACATCAAACAGTTCTGGATGAGCTGTATCATCACTGCCTTTCATCCTATATCATGTGTAACAAGACTTTCAGGACCATCGTGTGTTGGGTGGATGAAAGGTGCTGTTCTAAGAGTGATACTCGGAGGAAAGAAGAGGATAGGATAGGATATTTTAATATCATATTTTAAGGGAGGCATTTTTCCATATACCACAAAGTTCATGGCAACTTTCCTTAGGGCTCATTCACTTTTGGAGTTCATTTTCTGGGAGGAATGTGTGACATGCGTCAAGCATGTAAGAGAAAGCACCACTCAGCTGACACATCTTGGTTTCATGTTCTGTTTTACTCCTCATGCCATTCCACATGTACCCTGGCATCTTGTTTGTTTTTATTTGTAGCTACATGGTATATTCAGCCAAGCACGTGTTTCCAGTATTGTCCACGCTGGGCTCCAGGCAATTTCCCTAGTAGCCATCATTGAATTTTAGAATCCTGTGAAGTAGAAGAGTGGTGATTTGAGTTGGATCTTTGGTTTGTTTGCATTTTTCTCTTCCTGCCTTCATTTTAATTTTTGATTAGTCATTCTGTGAGAAGTTCCATTGGAAGAATTACTATTCCTACTCAGTGTCATGGTTTCACCAGGAAGAAGGTGTTTCAAAAACAATTCTAGTAGTCCAGAGCTTCTTCAAACTTTCAGTAAAAGCAATTATCGTAATAATCATGGGAAAATGACAATTTGTTACTGCATTTCAGTAGTTCCCCGACTGCATTGCATGTAAGAAAAGAAATAGTATCTTTATTTCAGAGTTGCTCAATTGTCATTGTTTAGAGGTTTGAGCATCTAGTTCTAGTTTTCACCTTACTAATCCTATTAAAACATAATGAAAGAACTAATTTTTCACCCAGTTGCCTGGGAGTTGTCATCCACCCCCCAGTGAGGGTGGTGAAGTACCCAAGAGAGGTATCGGACTGGCTGATACATGTGCAGGGTTCGTGAAGTTGGACTACTCTCAAGTATGGTGATAAACATGTAACCTGGATGTAGTTCATAAAAATAGACTACTCAAAACATTTGTAAAAAGTTGATGACTAAGGATTTTTACTAAGGGATACTTAGTGATATCTTAATTAAAAAGAGCTTATTTTCCTAAAATTTCAGCTGTTTGCCTGTCAAAACACGAGACCACTCCACCTTCTTGGCAGTGGCCAGTTGGGTGTAACACCTACTTGGCAGCTCCTAGTGCACAGGATTGCACAAGCAATCTCCAGCAAGGTCATTAACAGGGCACAACTGAAAATATGTTCTCAACCTCCTCTCAGTACATGTACTTACTTGCAGGAGTGGAATATGAATTTCCCGTACTGTTGACGTGCACTTCGTTGGTAAGTGCATTTTTGAGGGAAAGCAGTTCACAGAAACACAAAAAGAGACATAGAGATAGCACCATAAATGTAATTGAAAATACTAAAAGTAATTTTTTTTTCATTCAATTTCACGTGTGTTCTTGAGAGGACACCACCACAGCAGGCAAACGGTGTCTGAGTTGTGAAGCTCACGGTATCTCTCTCACTATGCCTTCATCAGCTATCCTCAAAAAAACCTGAACGTTCTAGAAAACTGACTTACCAGGGAGAGTATCTTTCTTCACAAAACAATTATAATTGATCTGTGTCACTGTATCAGAACCCAGACAGTTCATGTGTGAAAAGAATTACTGCTGGAAATATATTCTCTTACATCTGAGTTTTTGAAGAAAACTCCCCCTTGACAGAATAGCCTCATGTTTGCTTCTGCTGCATAATGTATGCTAACCTCCCTGGCACCCAGATTCACCAAAATAGGCCTCACAGTGAATTTTATTACAGTAAAGGCTGACAGCCAGCAACAGCTCTGTGTTTCTTTATTCCATTGTCTCTCAAAATAGTTCGTATTTTTAATTAATCTTCCTTCTATTCAAAAAAAATGTCTGAAAGGGGGAGAGTACAGAAGTATTTTATATTTTGCTACATACATCTACTTTCAAATAATGCTTGGGAGAAATTAAAAGAAATGTTAAAACCCTATTTAAGGGTTGCAGGAGCCAACATGGGATCAAACAGAGCATATTGAAATGGATCTCTTGCTGCTCTCTAATGGAAGGGATGCATGGGAAAAATCCCAAAACATCAAAACTCTACTGGGGAAGAGGAGGGGTCCTTCTTTGCTTTTCCAAGAATTGTACCAGTATTATGCATGTTTTTCAAAGGACAAGTATTATTTTGTGGATGAAAATCTCCATCTAAAGATCAGGGTGATACCCAAAAATGTAAAATTATTTTTCATATTGAAAATACAGTAGAATAGTTCTGGTAAATATAGATTTAGGATGTAAGGACAAAATGTAAGCAGGTACTGACTCACTGAAGCTACTTTATTCAGCACTGACACTTGACCTATTCTCTGAAGTACTAAGTGCTTAGGGAGGTTTAGAATGATATTTTTTGTTCAAAAACTCTAAAATTCCCGCCATATATGAAGTGGGAAGTGGGTTTCATTCCCTGGAAAGCAAAACCACATGTATTTCTAGGATGATTGCTTACACCAGTTTTAAATTATTCCGCAGCGGTCCCGACAACCGAGGCCCACGCGTGCACGTGGCACGGCCGTGTTCCGCAGGAGCGCAGGCGACCCTTGGCAGCTCCGTCCTCCCCTCCGTGTGCTGAATCCTTGCTTCCACAGTCGCGATGCTCAAGCCCAGAGAGGAGCCCCTTGTCGGGGCGGGCTCCGGGGGCGATAGACCACACACAGTGGCATCTCCAGGAGTTGCGCTCTGTGCAGCCCTGGCCTCGGCTACTGCTGCCAAGCGATTCCTGGCAGAGCTTCCTTGCGCCCCTCGCTCC